ACCTCCAACCTAAGAGCGTAAGAGCGATGGCCTCCAACCTAAGAGCGTAAGAGCGATGGCCTCCACCTAAGAGCGATGACCTCCAACCTAAGAGCGTAAGAGCGATGGCCTCCAACCTAAGAGTGATGACCTCCAACCTAAGAGCGTAAGATCGATGGCCTCCAAACTAAGAGCGATGGCCTCCAAACTAAGAGCGATGGCCTCCAACGAGCGATGGGCTCCAACCTAAGAGCGATGGGCTCCAACCTAAGAGCGATGGCCTCCAACCTAAGAGCGATGGGCTCCAACCTAAGAGCCATGGCCTCCAACCTAAGAGCCATGGCCTCCAACCTAAGAGCGATGGCCTGCAACCTGAAGGCGATGGCCTCCAACCTAAGAGCCATGACCTCCAACCTAAGAGCGATGGCCTCCAACCTAAGAGCGATGGCCTCCAACCTAAGAGCGATGGCCTCCAACCTAAGAGCGCTGGCCTCCAACCGAAGAGCGATGGCCTCCAACGTACTAGGGACTCTGAGGTGAAGTGGGTTTGGCCGGAAGCCACCTTCTACACGGTGCTGTGTGTGCCAGCCTTCAGCCCCGAACTCTCTGGGCGTGAATCTGACGAGAGTGCCACGGTGGCCAAGGAGAAGAGTGACCGAGATTTTGGGGTCTTTGGATGTGTTTTGGGTTCGCTTTCATGTTATTCTATGTCCCCCAAATTCCCCAGATAACTGGAAGGGGGTTAAGATCTTAGGACTTGTTCAGGCCGTTAAGGCCAGGTCCTGATTGCAACCCTTTTATTGGCCTGGAGCCACACGGTCCCAGCTGGTTTTGCGCAGCTCCCCTGATCCCATCACTTTCATCGCTTGCCCTGTCGAACAAGAAGACACCTGCGCACCCGCACTACCAAACACGGCGTGAGTGAGGTTCATGATCCGTTAATCTGTCTATGGTCAGATTATATCAGATTTCAGGTCTTGAAAGACTAGGAGATCTTGGAGTCCAACAGACTTTAGAGACCTCTTGCGGAAGGGGCTTACCTCTAGCACCACTCGCGCCATGCGGTGTTTTCGCACGAACCCAATAGGCTGATTTCTCGAACCGATCGTCCGGAGGTTGATGAAGCCCGTGGATCGACCCAGATGCCAAGATCATCCGAAGATCTTATTCTTACCCGGACGCGACCGTGGACCCAAATCCTCTGGAGGGGTCTGGCCCCTGAAAAACCCATAGGTTTTTCTGGGACCGGTCGGGCTGTCTGGGTACGACGCGCTGCGACGTCCGCTCGAACCGGCAGGACAGCGCGTCCATGGCGCGCTTGGAGGCGTTGCACGCCGCGTCCGAGCAGTGAGGGTGTGGCATTTGGTGGCCATTCCAGGACCACCGATGTGTAACCAAAGAAAGGCTTGAATTCATATGAAGCCATCATCAACCATCCTGTGGTGCTTGGCTGGAGCCTGCGGGTTGGTGTTGGTTGGATTTTCGTGGGTCGGATTTCCCACCCAGTTTTCAAGTTTTTTGTCAAATATCATTGATCCTTGTGGGTGTCGAGTGGAGAAGAAGCATTTTCTGATGGATCATTCGAACCCGACAATGCCAGCGTCAGCTGGCCTAGGCACACCCAAGCAACTATTTGGAGTTGAATGCAACCATGCTTTCATGATATATATTATATATTGAATAAACTGCAGGTGTGATCCATCGAGAGGGCTTCAACCTCCACTCCATGTTGTTGGCCTTGGCAAAAACTGCCGAGATTAGGCTGAAATTTTCAGTGCCATTGCAAGGTATCAAGAAAGTCTTGCTTGCATGCTCCGCATCATTTCCGATGCTTGCCTGATTGTATGGACAGATCTAAGATCGAGAATTCCAGCCAGCTGTTCATGATAAAGATACTAGAAGGCACTGATGAATTGACCTACCAATGAACCGAATCACTTCTTGTGCATGGAACCATGTCACGCGGGGATTTAGCGCGTCCATGCCCAGGTTTCGGCGGCAATGGCAGGTCCGAAGGCCCCGCATGACGTTGGGCAGGTCTGTTCGACAAAAGGCCCCTGGTTTTCCTGCCATCGTCCTATGAAAGCAGGGAGACTGGTGGTTTCTGCTTGCAGGCTTTTCAGCTATGACACGAAAAGCCAAGAACCGCAAACGCTTTGTGAAGGACACGGTGTGCTGCGGCGACACAGAATGCAGTTGTCTCTATATTGAACATGAGAGTAAAGAGTGTCGTTGACGATGAAGAACTTGAAAGACGCAAAGGAGCTACTGTAGGAACATATTATAGAGCAAGACAGTCGAGGGTCCGCTTGCTTAGCCTAGTGATCAATCAGAGTCAGACATCTGTTTTTGAAGACAAGATCCGATGCGGCAAAATTGCCTTGCTCGAGCTTCTTCAGCTTAGCTTGAAAGACAAGCAGCCAAGTGTGCGCATGAGGTCGCATGTCATGAACCTTTGACACGTCACCCCGGAAGGGCGGGGCTCGAGCTTAGGAAAACTGAGCGGCGCGTTCGCGGTTTGGACCACGCCGGTCCTTCGTTTTGGCCACTTGTCGGCCGATCGCCTTTCATGGTAGGCGGAGCTCCCTGGTGAGGAGCTGGGGCGCTTTGGTGCGGCGCTGGAGCGCTTTGGTGGTGGCTGGCTATGCCAGCCGAGGACGTCCCGGCCTGGGACGGTGACCCGTCTTCTTTTGAAGCATTCGCCACATCGTGCAGGTGGTTTGAATGCTCCCTCAAGGAGACAGAGAGACAGCTCGCGGCACCTCGGATATGGCAAAAGCTGCAGGGCGCTGCGAAGTCGGTGGTTCGCCACCTAGATCCAAAGGATTTCTCCTCTGACACTGGCCTGGAGAAACTCCTGCGGGTCCTCAGAGACTCGCCACTGCAGAAGCTTCCAATCCCTGATAGCTTCTCGAGATTGGAGAAATGGACAGGTTTGAAGCGAGCCCATGGCGAGGCGATCCCACAGCTGCTGGTGAGAGAAGAAGAGCTCTTCACGGAGCTCCAGCAGGCACTACAACGTGCACGCCATGAACGAGCTCGGCAGGAGGTGAAGTCCATGGGTGTCGGAGCGAGCGAAAGAGATCCACCGATGTCCCCTACGAGGTCACCCAATGTGACGAGGGCAGGATTGAGTTCGGTTAGAGAAGATGATGACTTCCCGGCTGAGGATAAGAAGGTTGTCGAGACCTCCCAGGGCGAGAACGCTGGATTCTTTGAGCATGAGCTCCGGGGTTACAGGTTGTTGAAAGCAGCCAAGCTCACCCAAGCTGAACGTCAGCATGTCCTCACGCTGACGAAGAACTCGACCCACTTCACCCAGATCAGGCAAGCTTTGAGATCTCTATTTTCTGATGGTGCTGATCAAGCTGATGATCCTGGAAGGCTGCCAAGACGCTCTGTCTGGTACGCGGCCGATGAAGGTGAAGATTGGGGCCTGGAAGATGACTGGTGGAGTGAAGACCCAAGCCGGTGGAGCGAGGACATCTTCTGGAGTGACTGGAGCCCTTCATGGAGTCCAACTTCATGGGATGATGGTGGCTCCTATGAGGACTACATCCAGGAGAATGACTACTACCCGGAGGAGCCAGAGGAGAAGACAACGGAGGAGCTCGAGAACGAGCAGCGAGTTGAAGAAGCCTTTGCATTGGCCACGGAGGCCAATAAGACATTGGCCGAAGCAAGACAGGCTGTTGCTCGCGTCCGTGCTGCACGGGGTTACTTTGATCCTACGGGCACGAAAGGACATCCTGGAAGTCTTGGTGGCGGCAAAGGGAAGAGAAAAGGTCCAGCACCTGGCAAGGGCAAAGGTGTTGGAGGTGGCTTCGGACCGTGCTTCATCTGCGGTCAGCCCGGTCACGGGTATCTGAAGTGCCCTGACCGTTGGTCCAAAGGTGGGAAGAAAGGTGCATCTCCATCTTCGTCGAGGAGCTCTTCATTTGGTGGCCGTGGAAAAGGCAAGGGCAAAGGAGGTTCAAAGGGCAAGAAAGGAAAGACCTTCTTCGCTGAAGCTGAATGGGTTCCTGAAGTCTATGTCATGAGCCTCTTTGACCAGACTGACTTGGAGAGCCTTGGAACGTCTAAGGTTGTCTTGGACACTGGGGCGACGGAGTCGGTTGCTGGGATTCGCGCGATGGCCAAGGTCCTGGACTCCCACTTGTTCACCTATGAGGTCAACATCTCTGAGCGGCCTCGGTTCAAGTTCGGGAACGGCGAATCTCAAAGAGCGGTTTCCAAGGTCTGGCTTCACACTCCAGCTCTTGGTTGGTTGAGCTTCTACCTCCTTGACGGCGGTGCGGAGATGACCCCATTGTTGCTTGGAGCTCGCGACATGCGGAAGCGCCGAGCGGTGATTTCCTACCATGGTGACTACATGGCGCATCGTGGTCAAAATGGAGCATGGTTTGCGAATGAGCTGATCACGGCACCCGGAGGTCACCTGACCCTATCCCTGGCGACACGTCGTCTTCCTCTACGCCTCCTACTGGAGCATCTAGATGGACCACCCTTCAACAACCCTGGTGGCTATGGCGGTGATGATGAGAATGCTGATGATGGGGATGATGGCCGACCTCGACCTCCAAACCATCCTCCACCTGGGCGAACTCCTCCCGAAGGTGGACGTTCTGGAGAAGTTCGAGACGACGGACCTCGCGATCCTGAAGGTGAAGATCGTGAGACGAAGAGGAAGCGAGAGGACCCTACTGCCCGTTTGTTGAAGACTACGGTGAGATTGGACGCCAGCCGGCGAGAGCATCCTGATTGCTTTGTGACCCTTGGCAGTAGTGGTGATGGACATGCTGAGAGGCCTGCCTTAGAGCTAGATTCCAACTATTCTCCAACTTCGCCATCAGTGGTCGTTGAACCGATGGCTGAGCCCTCAACGGCTGCAAGAGCCTCAGAGGAGCGACCTTCTTCGGAGCTTCCTGCACCCAGTGAATACATGTCGCCTTCTGCGGCTGACTGTCGTTCGCCACGTGTTGATGACATGGAGACTCACCCTCATCCAGAAGAAACACATCCACATGAGTCAAGTGCAGTCACGCACATGTCAACTGTTTTGCAGTCAGATGAGTCACAACATGTCGAAGTTCATGATGATTGTCAGTCAGCAATTCCGTCGAACGGTATGATCATGATGGTGACGAAGAGTGGATTGTCTGAGTTTGACGACCGCCTCAGCATCTTGGCTCAGCGGTTGCGAGAGCATCGAGAAGCCTATCCATCCCACCTGGAGGATGAAGGCATGCCCCCCGGCCACGGATCACGATCCTCGACACCTTGGATGGCCATGCCATGGCGAGCACCTCCCTGGCAAGGAGCGGGCGAATGGATCGGCAATGTGGCAAGCATGCTCTCGATGCGGTCTACGTCTTCGATACGTGACCAAGGGCAAGGCGACTGGACAGACCAGGGCAATTGGCCCGCCACCAGATCAGGTGGAGCAAGCCCAAGAGGAATTGCGGCCCGACTTCAAGCCATCAGAGATGACAGAGAAGATCTTCAATGGGAAGCTGATGGAAATCAGGGGTCGCATCCTGGTGCACAGCGGCGGACAGGGTCGGACCAATGTCCAAGTCCGAGCGGACGAGAAGTTGGGAGAAGCCTTGATGGCATCGACGGCTTGCGGAGAGACCCGAAAGACAAGTCCTACTCGGAAGAGCAAGGAGGACAGCGAGCCAGTGACTCCCAAGAAGAACCGATCCCCGAGCAAGGAGAAGGTGAAGCCGCAGGACAACTCCGTGAAGAAGGAGACCCAGGACAAGGGCTATGCTGGGCGGCCAACATCGTCGACGGCGACGCGGGGACCAATTGCCATGAGCGTGAACTCCGAGGACACGGTGGAGGAAATTCCGGACTCCGAGACAGAGTCGAAGAAGGCGGAGTGAATGGCATCTGGTCGAGTCTGCGGCGACTGAGGAGCAAGATGACGGAATCTGCCTGCAATAAGGCATCATGTCTATGTCAGCTGGAGGCCGACAAGGACATCAATCCTGCAATTTCCAATGTGAGCCCAACACGCAACTCCAACTATGAGGATGGCAACCATCCATCTACACGCACGACGAGCACTACGAAGTGTGGCATGAGCTCTACACGCCCTACCGCACGAATTTCTTCGACGCCGAGTTCCACGATTGAGGAGCTCTACGCGGTGACGAATGTGACCGAGAAGCAAGTGCGACCTTCACTTGCCCGACGGCTAGCAATGGCTGCAGCTTTGACATGCACCTTGATGGGACCTGTTCGAGAGATGATTGGTGCAGTGAGTCCTCAGGTGGACATCATGGAGATAGCCTGTTCACCCAACTCCACGTTGACGGCGACTTTTCAGGACCATGGCTACACAGGTCTTCGGGTGAACTACTTGACTGGCTTCAACTTGGATGCTAAGCATGGAACAGCAAAGCTAGCGACGACCATTGCAGAGACCAAGCCACGACTGACCTGGGTATCGATGTCATGTACCCGACTTTCAGCTCTTCAGAATCTCACTCCTCGAACTCCAGAAGAGATGGACCGCTTCCTACATCGACGAGGACAAGATCTTCGCAGGAATGATGAGGTGGTTCAAAGCCTGGAGCCAGTGCTTGAGAGTGGAGATGACATTGCTTGGGAGTGGCCGACAACTGCCACAGCTGGTTGGAAGTCCAAAGCTATTGCACGACTTCATCGTTTGGCGGCAAAGCATAACCGGCGACTTCACTGGATCCGGATTGATGGATGCGCTTATGGACTTCAGTGGCAAGGACTCCCTCTCAAGAAGTCATGGACGATTCTGACTACAAGCCGAGAACTCTGGCTTTCCTTGAATAAAAGATGTGATAGAAGCCATGAACATGCAGTTTGCCGTGGCTCTGCGGCGCAATCATCGGCATACTATCCTCCAAAGATGTGCCAGGACATTTGCAAGACCATGTCTCATCACTGGAAGCGACAGGAGAACTCTTTGGAGAGATCGGTGGAGACCTACTTGCTTGAGAATGACAACACGACCGACGACATGGTCTCTTCATCTGATCTTCGAGATCCAGTACCTGGAGGAGGACATGACGAGCATGTGTTCGCACTTTCGAGGAACAAGCTGAATTTGGAGACTGCCCCGACAGGCAAGAAGCTAGAGGCTGTCAAGCAGCTGATGCTGAGGGTACACAGAGCCAGTGGTCATGCTGGTATGTCCAACTTGGTGCAGTTGCTCAAGGCACGTGGTTCTCCTGGCTGGGCGATTGAACTGGC